TATGAAATGAATCTATATATTAGCATCAGTGTAAGTGGTGAGGAAAAGTCACTAAATGTACTCTCAAAAACAATTTAAGAAAATATACGTTTAGTGATACAAGATATTTTTAAGGTAAAACAATAAGGGAGTATCCTCAATTGAAATAAGATGAATATGAGGCAGATAGGAAAGAGAGCTGTCAAATAAGTATATCTTACATGGAAAATTAAAATAAAGATTATGTCTTCACTGGAAACAGTAAAATTCATAAGCAAAATGGCAATGATTAACAATAAAATATAGAAAAAATTTCCCAAGTTAAATGGAAAAGAAATAAAATTACTGAGGAGAAAAACTGTTTATGGAAAAGAAATCAGTGCTCAAAGACACACACACACTCATTAACATAAATACATACTAAAATAGATATCCCAAAACCAAAGAACTAGAATAATGGGAAAGGAATCAAACAAAAACCAATCCTCAATAGGTAAAAACTTTCCTTAGTAAAATAAAGACATGATTGAGATTGTTCAAATGAATCTCCAAATAATAAGTTGAAAGAATGAAAAACAGCCATCAGATTATACCCTGGTAAACATTTTGAAATTGGAAAAGAACATGCCAATAGTTAAGCTCTTATCTCGCAGCCCCACATTCTCTCTACTGTACTCTGATTTTTGATATGGGGGCTGGAACTCTGAAAACCACGTTTCTGCTTTGCCACCTGGTTCCTTCTTTTAGGATGTGATGTTAATGGATGCTAGAGGGAGACTGAAAGACTAGAGGAGGAAGGGTCTTGCTCCTTTCTGCTCATTTCCTGTTCCTGTGTCACCCCATCTTTTTTTCCTGCATTCAGTTGTATCCAATTGCCATTTTGCAGAACTTGAAAAATTGGCCTTATTGAGACCACTCAGAGACATCAACACCAGCAGACTGGCACCACTTCCTCAGAGCTTCGGGTCCCAGGTAAAGGGGCAGCTCTTTCATGTCAGAGATGACAGCTCTGGCTAAGCAGAGGTCCAATCGCAAATGTCTGGATTTCATCTGCGTAGCGGTTCTCCCCTGATTTTCTAAATCTTAATAACTACAATCTCTTCTTTTGTTTTCCAACACTAGGGGTGGTAGCTGTTTCCTTTAGTTGATACATTTATGATATAGTGTTCTCTTGTTGACTTTTTGGTTAACTAGTTAATTTTTATATCTATTTAACAAATTTTATATTAGATTATCTTTATATAGAATCACTGATAAATGGCTGGAGTGGTTTCTGTCTCCTGACTGTACCCTAACTGATAGAAATATAGTCAAAACATCTATAAGAATGAGATATAAAAACATATTAAAGATGAAAATCTACTGGACTTACCACACATCTCCATAAAAAAAAAAATGACAGAAGATAAGTAAGTATATAATATCTACTTAACTATAACGATACAAGGCTGTGACATTAAATTACTCAAGCCAATTTACAATAAATGTGTAGAAACATAGGAAAATTCCTTTTAGGCATAAAGTTTCATAAATTATATAATCAACATATCCTTCCTGGAAAATAATAGTAGTAGTAATAGTAATATACTACTACTAATAAAGTGAGATACATTTACCTAGAAATAATTTCTAGAACATATGAAGAACTCTACAAGGCAAAATGAAAAAGATGGAAACCCAAATGGAAACAGGAAAAAGACTTTAATATATACTTCAGCCAGAAGATATAAAATTGTTAATAAGTATATAAAAGGTGCACAGTCATTAACTGAATGTGATAGTATTATCCACCAGAATAGATAAAACCATAAAGGATAAAAACTGGCGTTACCAAATTAGTAGATGCATAATATCTAGAACTCTAGTACAGTGTGAATATGTATGTAAATTAGGAAAACACTTTCAAAATCTTCTGGGAATTATCCCTTAAGGCTGAGCACAAGAATACCATATAGCCTAGCAATCGCAGTTCCAGGTCTACACTCAGCTAAAATTTGTACGCATGCTCACAAAGGACATATATAAGTGAGGATGTTCACAGCAAAACTATTCTTAATAAGCAAGAAATGGAAACAATTAAAATGTTAATTTTGATATATTAAAGAAGAATAAACTGCAAAGACAATTATTAATATATTTTGTTAAAATCTGAATTTCAAGACATATTAAATAAAACTGAGCCAAGTATAAATTAATGAATAAGAAAAGAAGAGGGAAAACAAGTATAACTTCACTCTATGCACACATTTGATTAAAGATAAAAACAAAACAAAATAATGATACTGACAAAACCTAAGATAAGACAAAATTAGTAATACTGCTAACACCTAAAAATAACAAATTAGAATGTTAATAACAGTACAAAAGAAGATATAACAATACAAGATAGATTATTATTAATAGTCATAGGATTAGAAGTAAGGTACAACTGCCTTCTGCTAAATTTTAAAATCTCAGTAAAATATAACTTTTAAAGGGAATATATATGATAATATACATATATTTTTTTCTATCATTTGTCATGTTCAAGAATATATACTTCCCATGTTTGTAGGTACTTATAGCAGATAAATTGTAGAAATCTTCTCAATTCATGTTATGATGTTATTATGCTAAGAAAAGCTTCATATTGTAATGGAAAATATGAAATGTTTTTCAAAAGATACGTAGACCAAACATAGATGAAAAATCATAGACTATAGAATGCAACAAAATACTAAATGAATAATGCAACATGGATAAGTTAGTTTTATTTTAAGTATGCAATAATGATTTACAATTATAATATTTATGTAAATCACCATATTAATAGATCAAATGAGAAAAATATAATTTTATACATTTTTAGGAAGAATTTAATAAAACATTATACCAAGGTTGATTTTTTAAAATAAAATATCTATTAGTGAAACTCAGGTAATGACAAGATCTTGCCCTTGACACCACATGGTATAAGTATCTCAAATAGCAACTAATATCACACAGACTATAAAGCATTAAAGTCTTTCCAATTAAAAGACATAAACAAGGTCACCCAATAGTGACTATTTTTGTCACTATTCTAAAAATAAAAACAATACAATAAAAAGGAAATAAACATAAACATTAAGAAGGAAGAGAAAAAGTTTCATTATTAGTTTACCATGTTCACCATCCTAGAAAATCTATTATTATAAATCAAAAAAACGGATACATGGGGCTTCCCTGGTGGCGCAGTGGTTGAGAGTCTGCCTGCCCATGCAGGGGATGTGGGTTCGTGCCCCGGTCCGGGATGATTCCGCATGCCATGGAGCGGCTGGGCCGGTGAGCCATGGCCGCTGGACCTGTGCGTCCAGAGCCTGTGCTCTGCAACGGGAGAGGCCACAGCAGTGAGAGGCCCACATACCACACACACACACACACACACACACACACACACACACACACACACACAAAAAAAAAAAACTGATACATGCATTTAGTAAGATGGTTATCATAAATATAGATACTTAAACTTTCTTCTCCAGTGTACTATAAATGTATAATTATTAATACATACAAATATATAAACCAAAATATAATATCTAAAATGTTCAAAAATACAAATAAGTGTGAATAAAACTCAGAAAGAAAATACTAAACTTATCCCTAAATTAAAGCCACTAAAATACATAGAGACTAATTTTAAGAGATAAAAGTAAGATCACATTCTCAGTTGAAAAGATTTCAAATGTATAGATCTAACTTTTTCCCTAATTAATATGTAAACATTTATTTCCAGAAAAAATCCTAAATGAATTCGCAGGAAGTATACATGACACTAAGAATATAATTTTAGGCATCAAATAAACCTAAATGAAAATTGGAGCCCAATATTCATTAAACATGTATATCTAGTGAAAAGAGAAAACAGTAATGTATGTAATTTTAAGAACAGTAAGCAGTTTGGGATAGTGTGCAGGGTGGTTTAATTTAATAGGATTAATAGTAAATAACTTTCTTTGTTGACAAATTTTGAGATGAAATCTGAAAAGTGAGAGAAACCCAAACACGTGATGATGGGTAGGAACAGCATCTCAGACAAAGAAAATAGCACATTCAAAGGGACTGAGTTTGATTAGAGCTACTATATTTGAAGCAAATATAAAAGGGCAATTTGGCTGATGTACAGAGAAAAAATGTAGAATAGGCAGAAATAAGATCCAGTAGGTCCCTTTAGGTAAAGATAGGCATTGTGTTCTAATTGTAAAGAGAAGTTCTTGAAGAGGACTGAAATATTACTTGCATTTGTTAAACAGCTGTGGCAGCTTTAGCAAATGGACTTTAGGGGAAAGAGAAGTAAACAGATTGGAAGCTTTTGCTGTTGTTCAAACCAGGGGGTGTTACTAGCTATTTTAGGGCAGAGTTTCTCGTGGCAGTGAGAGGGAGTGTATTCTGCCATCCCAGAGGGTATATTAGGCAATGTCTGGAGACTTATTTGATTACCACATTGGGCAGGGTGTTGCAGTTGGTATGTAGTAGATAAAAGCCAGTCTGCTGCTAAACACTGTACAATGCACAGGACAGAGCCCTGCACCAAACAAAGAATTATCTGACTCAAAATATCAACAGTGTTGTGTTTGAAAATTCCCCATTTAGGGTGATAGGAATGGAAAAGGAGAAAAGTGAAGAGACATACAATCATGCAAAAAAATATATTAAGTACCAAATTTTTAGTAGTCTTTTGCAGGCTCCTCAGACTATTTTACCAGAAAGGATATAAATATGCAGGACTTTAGTTCACATAATTCTCATGAAATATATGTGATACTTAAAAAAAGAAAAAAGTTATTGTAAAGAAGTTTTCATTTTTATTTTATAAGAAGGGACAATCAGAAAAATATGCAGTCTTGATCTGTCAATGATCCATGAAGACTAAACTTAAAAATATAATCAAAAACAAAAGATTTAAATATTTTATCAAAGCATTTACTAAATGTTATTTTTAAAACAATATTCACTCAAAAACTTTTTTTTCAAATAAAAAAGGAAAGCCTACTCACTTGCCATTCAATGCTGCCACACCAACTGTGCTTCGGGCAATTGACATACTAGCTACAAATGTCCACTGCTGACTCTGAGGATCCCACCTCTCCACTGTGTTCAGATAGCTCCAGCCATCATGGCCTCCCACGGCATAGATAGGGCCTTCTAGTACCGTCACACCTGAAACATGGGAGAAATGAAAACCGAATGGATTTATTCCACAGTGAGGTTCTAAAATCAAATTAATAGTAAAAGTTATGATGCCATTCAGAATAGGTTCTAGCAGTTAAGAAACATTTGCAACTCCCTCTTGTGAGAGCACCGGAATCACAGCTAACTGCTGAACAATCATTGGCAGGAAGTCACTGGAACTCACCAAAAAAGATACCCTTCATCCAAAGACAAAGGAAAAGCCACACTAAGACAGAAGGAGTGGTGCAATCACAATAAAATCAAATCTCAAAATTCCTGGGTTGGTGACTCACAAACTGGAGAACAATTATACCACAGAAGTCCACCCACTGGAGTGAAGGTTCTGAGGCATATGTCAGGCTTCCCAAGTTGGGAATCTGGCAACAGGAGGAGGAATTCACAGAGAGTCAGATTTTGAAAGCTAACAGGATTTGACTGCAGGGCTTTGACAGTACTGGGGGAAACAGAGACTCCACTCTTGGAGGGCACACACAAAGTAGTGTGCACATCAGGACCCAAGAGGAAGTGGCAGTGACCCCATAGGAGACTGAAACAGACCTACCTCCTAGTGTTAGAAGGTCTCCTGCAGAGTCAGGGGGTGGCTGTGGCTCACTGTGGGGACAAGGGCACTGGCAGCAGAAGTTCTGGGAAGTATTCATTGGTGTGAGCTCTACTGGAGTCAACCACTAAACCTGCCAAAAAGCCTGTAGGCACCAGTGCTGGTTGGTCCCAGGCCAAACAACCAACACGGAGGGAACTCAGCCCCACCCATCAGCAGACAAGTGGATTAAAGTTTTACTGAGCTCTGCCCACCAGAGCAACACCCAACTCTACCCACCACCAGTCCCTTCTATCAGGAAGCTTGCACAAGCCTTTTAGATAACCTCATCCACCAGAGGGCAGACAGCAGAAGCAAGAAGAGCTACAAACCTGCAGCCTGTGGAACAAAAACCACATTCACAGAAAGACAAAATGAAAAGGCAGAGGACTATGTACCAGAGGAAACAACAAGATAAAACCCCCAAAAAACAAATAAATGAAGTGGAGATAGGCAACCTTTCAGAAAAAGAATTCAGAATAAACAGTGAAGATTATCCAAGACCCCAGAAAAAAATGGAGGAAAAGATCGAGAAGATGCAAGAAATGTTTAACAAAGACCTAGAAGAATTAAAGAACAAACAAACAGAGATAAACAATACAATAACTGAAATGAAAAATACACTAGAAGGAATCAGTAGCAGAATAACTGAGGCAGAAAAATGGGTAAGTGATCTGGAAGACAGAATGGTGGAATTCACTGCTGTGGAACATAATAAAGAAAAAAGAATGAAAAGGAATGAAGACAGCCTAAGAGACCTCTGAGACAACATTAAATGCACCCATATTTGCATAATAGGGGTCCCAGAAGGAGAAGAGAAAGAGAAAGGGACAAAGGAAATATTTGAAGAGATTAGAGTTGAAAACTTCCCTAATATAGGGAAGGAAATAGCCACAAAAGTCCAGGCAGAATAAACCCAAGGAAAAACATGCTAAGACACAGAGTAATCAAACTGACAAAAATTAAAGACAAAGAAAAATTATTAAAACCAACAAGGGAAAAATGACAAATAACATACAAGGGAACTCTCATAACAGGTGACTTCTCAGAAGAAACTCTACAAGCCAGAAGGGAGTGGCATGAAATATTTAAAGTGATGAAAGGGAAGAAACTACAACCAAGATTACTCTACCCAGCAAGGATCTCATTCAGATACGACGGAGAAATCAAAAGCTTTAAGACAATCAAAAACTAAGAGAATTCAGCACCACCAGACCAGCTCTACAACAAATGATGAAGGAACTTCTCCAAGTGGGAAACACAAGAGAAGAAAAGGACCTACAAAAACAAACACAAAACAATTAAGAAAATGGTAATGGGAACATACATATCAATAATTACCTCAAATGTGAATGACGTGAATGAATTAAATGCTCCAACCAAAAGAAACAGGCTTGTTGAATGGATACAAAAACAAAACCCATATATATGCTATCTACAGGAGATCCACTTCAGACCTAGGGACACATACAGACTGAAAGGGAGGGGATGGAAAAGATATTCAATGCAAATGGAAATCAAAAGAAAGCTTGAATAGCACTACTCATATCAGATAAAATAGACTTTAAAATAAAGAATGTTACCAGAGACAAGGAAGGACACTACATAATGATCAAGGGATCAATTGAAGAAGATATAATAATTATAAATATGTATGCACCCAACACAGGAGCACCTCAATGTATAAGGCAAATGCTAACAGCTATAAAATAGGAAACTGACAGTAACACAGTAATCATGTGGGACTTTAAAACCTTCCTTTCACCAACGGACAGATCAACCAGTCAGAAAATTAACAAGGAAACACAAGCTTTAAATGACACAATAGACCAAATAGATTTAATTGATATTTATAGGACATTCCATTTGAAAACGGCAGATTACACTTTATTCTCAAGTGCACATGGGACCTTCTCCAGGATAGGTCACATCTTGGGTCATAAATCAAGCCTCAGTTAATTTAAGAAAAATGAAATCATATCAAGCATCTTTTGCAACCACAATGTTATGAGATTAGAAATAAATTACATGGGGAATAAAGGAAAAAACACAAACACATGGAGGCTAAACAATATGTTACTAAATAACCAAGAAATCACTGTAGAAATCAAAAATAAAATAAAAAATCCCTAGAAACAAATGACAATGAGAATATGACTACCCAAAACCTATGAGATGCAGCAAAAGCAGTTTAAGAGGGATGTTTACAACAATATAATCCTACCTCAAGAAACAAGAATAATCTCAAATTAACAATCTAATATTACATCTAAAGGAACTAGAGAAAGAACAAACAAAACCCAAAGTTAGTACGAGGAAAGAAATCATAAAGATCAGAGTAGAAATAAATGAAATAGAAATTAACAAAATAATAGCAAAGATCAATAAAACTAAAAGCTGGCTCTTTGAGAAGATAAACAAAATTGACAAACCTTTAGCCAGACTCATCAAGAAGAAGAGGGAGAGGACTCAAATCAATAAAATTAGAAATGAAAAAGAAGTTACAATGGACACTGCAGAAATACAAAGCATCCTAAGAGACTAGTACAATCAACTCTATGCCTATAAAATGGACAACCTGGAAGAAATGGACAAATTCTTAGAAAGGTATAACTTTCCAAGACTGAACCAGGAAGAAATAGAAAATATGAGCATACAAATCACAAGTAATGAAATTGAAACTGTGATTAAAAATCTTCCAACAAACAAAGTTCAGGACCAGATGGCTTCACAAGTGAATTCTATAAAATATTTAGAGGAGAGCTAAAACCCATGCTTCTCAAACTCTTCCAAAATATTGCAGAGGAAAGAACACTCCCAAACTCATTCTACAAGGCCACCATCACACTGATACCAACATCGGACAAAGATACTACAAAAAGAAAATTACAGACCAATACCTCTGATGAATATAGATGCAAAAATCCTCAACAAAATAATAGCAGACAGAATCCAACAGCACATTAAAAGGATCATACACCATGATCAAGTGGGATTTATCCCAGGGATGCAAGGATTCTTCAATATACACTAATCAATCAATGTGATACACCATATTAACAAATTGAAGGATAAAAACCATATGATCACCTCAATAGATGCAGAAAAAGCTTTTGACAAAATTGAACACCCACTTATGATGAAAACTCTCCAGAAATGGGCAAAGAAGGAAATTACTTCAACAGAATAAAGGTCATATAAAACAAACCCACAGCAAACATCATTCTCAATGGTGAAAAACCAAAAGCATTTCCTCAAAGATGAGGAAGAAGACAAGGATATCCGCTCTCGCCACTCTTTTTTTTTTTTTTTTTTTTTTTTTTTTGCGGTACATGGGCCTCTCACTGTTGTGGCCTCTCCCATTGTGGAGCACAGGCTCCAGACGCACAGGATCAGTGGCCATGGCTCACGGGCCCAGCCACTCCGTGGCATATGGGATCTTCCCAGACTGGGGCACAAACTCGTGTCCCCTGCATCGGCAGGCAGACTCTCAACCACCAGGGAAGCCCTCGCCACTCTTATTCAAAATAGTTTTGAAAGTCCTAGTCATGGCAATTAGAGAAGACAAAAAAATTAAAAGAATACAAATTGGAAAGGAAGTAAAGCTCTCACTGTTTGCAAATGACATGATACTATACATAGATAATCATAAAGATGCCACCAGAAGGCTACTAGAACTAATCAATGAATTTGGTAAAGTAGCAGGATACAAAATTAATCCACAGAAATCTCTCGCATTCCTATACAGTAACAACTAAAGATCAAAAAGAAATTAAGGAAACAATCCCATTCACCCTTGCAACACAAAGAATAAAATACCTAGGAATAAACCTACCTAAGGAGGTAAAAGACCTGTACTCAGAAAACTATAAGACACTGATGAAAAAAATCAAAGATGACACAAATGGATAGAGAGATATACCATGTTCTTGGATTGGAAGAATCAATATTGTGAAAATGACTATACTATCCAAAGCAATCTACAGATTCAATGCAATTCCTATCAAATTACCAATGGCATTTTTTACAGAACTAGAGCAAAATATCTTAAAATTTGTATGGAGGCACAAAAGACCCCAAGTAGCCAAGGCAATCTTGAGGGAAAAAATTAGGAGCTGGAGGAATCACACTCCTTAACTTCAGACTATACTACAAAGCTACAGTAATCAAGACAATATGGTACTGTTCCAAAAAGAGAAATATAGATCAATGGAACAGGATAGAAAGCGCAGAGATAAACCCATGCACCTCTGGTCAACTAATCTATGACAAAGGAGGCAAGGATATCCAATGGAGGAAAGACAGTCTCTTCAATAAGTGGTGCTGGGAAAGCTGGACAGCTACATGCAAAAGAAAGAAATTAGAACACTCCCTAACACCGTACCCAAAA